CGCTGGAACCCCGACAGCTTCAGCATCCTCGTCTCGCCTCACGTTCTCTGACAGTTTTTTCCCAGCAGCTGATCAAACTTTTACAGTAGCTGAGTTGAGTTTTCTAAAGAAAGCAAGGCCAGTTTTTTTTTTAAAAAACTCTCCTTGTTTTATGAAGTTTCTCAGTCCTAGAGTGAGTTAGATGGGGAGGTCAGTGCTGACTGCTAATCTGGGGGATTACCCCTGCCAGTACATTTGGCAAAACAGAGGATGGGATGGCAGAGTAACAGGTCCTTGCATCTCCAAGTCAAGAGACTGCCCTCCCGAATGGCTCGGCTTCCACGCCGCACAACAAGCCAGGCGTGTAGGCAGCCTGCCCTTGGAAAATAAATCCAAATAAAACTTTTATTCTTTTCCCTCACCGCCGTGGCGAGGTTTGCATGGCACCTCCCGAAACAGCTGGAGGCCAAGGAGCGCCCCAGCCCAAAAAAAGTCTTCCAGCTTAGCACCTACCTACCTCTGGGTGCCTAACGCTGCAATTTGGTATGTGTACAAACACATACGTTCACACATTATCTACCACATTCACCCCACGGGCTAGGGCGGGGCTCAGACATTCCAGCAATAATAATAATAATAATAAGAATACTACTAACAACAAGGCTGCCAATCTCTACCAAAGGATTTTCTTTTTTCTCCGTCTACCTGCTGGATTCATCTGGGTAAAGGGCATCCCTGGGGTGGGAGTGGGGTAGGGGGGGGGAGAGAGACAAGAGAGAGATCCCACCCACCCCAAATCCTGGCCCGTTGGCCAAAACGATGCCGGGACCCTTCCCCAAAATAGATGATTTTTCTTCCGAGGAGGGGTGGGGGACGCTCAAAGGAGCAGGGGTCTTTGTTAAAGGGGCTGCTCGTAATTTAGGGGGGGGTCCTTTAGCTCGCCGACAGCCAGGGGGGGAACCTGTGCCCACCGTCCCAGAGGGAGATGGAGAAGGGCTGCCAAGCAGGTGGAGACAATCCCCTAACCCAGCTGCCGTGGCGCGATGATGGTGATGCCCATCTCCCCCCCCTCCTGCCTGCCAATTCCACCATCTCCGGTCAAAGAAGAAATATTAACCCTTCACTTCGCAGAACGCCACACGCTTCCCGAATAAAATGTCCTCTCCAGAAGGGGGGGGAGGAGAAGGAGACCCTTTGCGCCTCCTCTGCTTTTTTCCAAGACTCGGCAACAAGCTTTCGGGAACCCCCGGGGATCTGGGGGGGGGAAAGATGTGCCCAGGGCGAGGAAGCACACACACACACACACACACACACACACACAGAGACAAATCCCCCCTTCCTCCATTTTTTTCCCTTCCCAGAGCAATCCAATCCAAATGGAAGGCTTCTTCGTCTTGCCACCCACGGCAGGCGGCTTCTTGGGGACGAGTGGGTTGAGAAATCACGGCGGGCTGGGTGCAAAAGAGGCGCCAAGGGGTGCCAAGACTCCCCCCCTCTCTCTCTTTCCCCACGGAGGAAATGCCAAAATCAACAAGAGCAGATTCCGGAGGAGAGACGATCCGGCGGAGAGGATTTAGAAAAGAAAAAAAAAGCTTTCGACCGAGTCTACTCTTTTAAACTCAAAATATTCCGTTTTTCCGTGGGTCTCAGGCTGGCAGATCCCAAATCTTTGGGGAGAGATGCCCCACGGCCCTCCGAGGGTCCAGGGAAGAGAAGCTGGCTTGGAAAGGCAAAGGGAGTCAGACACCCCTTTCTTCCCAGCATTAGGGGTTCTGTCCCCCCCAAATAAGAGGGGTGAGGGATAAATTCAACGTCTCCTGCTGAGATGCTGGGCATCCCTGAGACAGCTGTGTCTCTCCCCACCTGCTCCTCTCTAGGCTCCGATTCACTTCTGGGGGGACCTCTCTGAACCCCCACACCTCTTCTGATTTTGGCACGGCTGTTCCATCTCTCTGTCAAGGCAGCCTCTGCTCCGGGGCTGGCATTGGGACCCCTTGGAGGAGGGACTTTCTGCTCTGCAAGGCCTAGTTTTCTTCTCCACCCCCCCAACTTTTCATCACTTTGATCTGAGAGACATCCCCCCAAAAAAGACTACAATCCGCTCCTTCTCAACTCCACAAAATTGGGGTCTCCTTGGACCCCTTGGCATTCATGACTTCTTTCCAAACAGGCCCCCACGGGGGAAAAAAATCACAGCAACACCCCCCACACACACATCTCTAAAGAGCAAGAAGAAAAAAGCATATCCAGCCTTGTTCTGATAATTCTCCCCAATAGTGAATGACCCCCCCCCCAATATTTGCTTGCACACCAATGCAACTGGCAATTGGGGGGGGCTGTTAAATCTTTTACAGGGGGTCCTGCTTCCAAAGGCTGAGCCCCCCTAAATTCCCCTGCCCCACAATTTAGAGGCCCGCAAGGATGCCGCCTCCACACTGGGCAAGGCGCCCGGGAAAAGCCACCCCCACCCCCAAACCTTTTGATTGAAGAGATATGAACCCCGGCTTGCTTTCCTAATCTCCGGCGCCCTCCGAGGCTTCGCAGGCACCCCCAAACTCAAGCCAGGGTCTCCCCCCAAAGCCCCCAACCCAGGTTTCATCGGTCCGGCGCCCCCCCGACGGCGACACGTCCCCCCCCGCCCCCCACCCAACCCAAAGACTTTGCAAGGCGCCCCAGCAGAAAATGCACGAACGAACCAGCCAAGGAGCGAATGAATGGACGCCCCGATGCATCTCTTCCGTCACCCCTAAAAACAAGACCCCAGACCCTCCTGCCTGACCCACAGACGTCCCCCGCCCCAAA